GCATTCTTCATTTTTGTTACTCAGCATGAAATAAACGAATTGTTTATTTGCTGCAGTTTATTACAATTAAGGAATGATGCAGCAACAAGAAAACCACTCTCTGTGGTGGTGGGGGTTTGTTGTTTCTTTCTGATGAGTTTTGTTTTTGTTTTCATTGCAATTTATTTATATAAAAGTTTCTTTTGTATGCGTTTCTCCTCAATTCATATTTTTGCAGTCGATAGACCCCCAAAGAAAGAGTGGTGCTAGTGGCTGACTCAGGCTTCATGCACTCAAAAGAAAAAAGTTTTTGATATATTTAATTAAATATATTTTTTAAATTGAGTTAAATTGTTTATTAGAAGGAAAAACGATGAAAATATGCAGGTGGTCTCGTTCAGGTTAGAGGCGGGGTTCGTGCGCTGCAGGGCGGAAACCATTTGAATTCTCCGTCGTTTTTCCTTCTTTTTTTTTAAAAATTTGAAAATAAATATTTAAAAATAAAATAAAACTATTCTGCTTTTTGGAGCTCCGAATTCCAGCAATTTTTCGCAGCTTTCCTCCCCCCCCAAACCCCCTTCAGGTCACCACTCACTACACCGCCGGGTACTGCACACCGCCGTGTGCAACGTTGGTCTGGCGGCCGAATTAAAAAGGAAATTCATCAATTAAATAATTAAATAAGTTCTTCAATTAAATATTTAAATTAATTTATCATAATATTCATGAAAACGCAAAATTTACGCCGCAAAAAACGCAAATTCTGAAGCCGAAGAGTAGCCGCCGCCGACACAGGTTCAATAGGCATGCAGCTCTTCTCTGCTCCACCGCCCCACAACAAATTTGTATAAAAACAAATAAAAAATATAAAATAAATATTTTTAATTTATTACTGATGTATAAATATCAAAGGTAATGCCAAAATACCTTACACCCCGACCCCTCACTCTTCCCTTCTCTCTCCTCCTAATGGCTCTTCACTAAACAAAAGGAAACAGAAAAAATAAACTAAACAAATCCGGTTTCTACAAGTACATAAATATAAATAAGCAATATGAATTCACCCCTACATACTACATTAATATAAATAAATATAAATAAACAAAAATATAACGTAAACAAAGAGAAAACGCGGCGAAACATTTCTATAGAGTTTGTCTATGATAGTCAAGCATCCCCCCCCACTACTGTGTACAAATTTTATTTTTTTATTTTTTTGCAGAGAGGAATAATAAAAGTAAAAAATAATTGTTTTTTCTTTCTTCCTTTATGGAGAAGAATAATAATAAAAGTAAACATTAGGTTGCAGCAGTAACAGCAATAGGGAGAGAGGCAAATACAGCAACAGAAATTCCGCTGTGATACTATCATTATTTTTTTTATTTTTTTTTCTGTTTTTGTAGTAAATACAATAAGAGAAATGAACAAAATAAAACAACAAAAATAAAAGAAAAGGAACAACAGCATCAATAAAAAAGTTTTAATAAAAAATCAGTATTCGCAACGGCCCAGCAAAGAAGGAGATTTGTA